CGAAGTCCGAACCGGCCGAAGGACGAGCACACCCTTCGGCCGAAGCCTGAAAGAAGGATACTCCCCGAAATAGGGAACGGAAACGGAAATAAAAAAATAAAAAAAAAAAAGAGGAAAGGAAAAAGGGAAAATAAAAGAGGGAAGCCGAGGACCGCGCGCACTTGCCGGCCTCGAGCAATGAAAAAATAAAATCCCCACAACTCATGCCAAACTTGGCTAAGTACATATCAGTTGAACACAAGTGTAGTACCACTAACAGGTGACATGGACGATATGGCCACACGTCCATCACAGACAAGGGAATTGTCAAGGACGAAGCATACGCCTATAAAACCCTAACCAGAGTGGTTGGGTGACACGCGAGTGGTAACCTTCATCGGTCATGAGATTGTGTTTGAGCCCTTTTACGTATGATACAGCCTTTATGGTGACATTTGCGCAGATCACATCTCCATAACCAAGGATAGGAGATGAGGCGTCGTTTCCAAATCTGACATTTCCTCCATAGCAGTTTGTGTAGTTGCTCAGCAAATGTTTAATTTCGATCAAGTGGGTTGAGCATCCTAAATCTAAGTACCACACATGATCGATCTGCAAAACAAATAAAGATTTTTAGGTACCCACCTCAGGATGGGTCCTTCCTTATTAATTGAAAACATCTTTTTGAATATTTCTTTAAGCTGTGATCCGAGGTCAACTCTTTTTCAGTTAATGATTGCGCCTTTGCAAGGTCCGTTTTTAGAATCCATTTTTGTTTGCTTGAGGGAGAATAGACATGGTCTTTGTGAGTGAATGGTTGGTTTCTGAGATAAGGCTTAAAAATTTCTTCTTTAGAGAGTCTTTTCAGATGTTTCCTTGAATGAACTTTGAGGGGATATTTCAAATTTGGCATATAATAAACACCTTAATAAGTTCTATTCTTTGTTTTCTTTGTTTGTGTCACTCTCTCTTCTCACTTTCACATCATTCACATCACATTCAAAATTCACATCATTCACATCACATTCAAAATTAGAAGAATCAGAACCAGAATAACCAAGTCCAAAAGCATACTTTTCATTATCTGAATGACAAGGTTCAAAAATTGACTTAGACACATTCAGCTTGAGACTCAATACTGAACTACTACTCGATTGCTAATATGAGCTAGAGCTACATATATTTTTAAAATAAAACAAAGAACTGGAACTAGAACTAAACTTCTTTTCTGAAAACATTTTCTTATTTCCTTCTGCTATTTCCTTTCTCTTCTGCTTCCACTCTTCCCTCTTCTCTAGACTCCTACTCACTTCTTTCCCTGAGATCAAAGGAGACGTGGAGTGAGTGGATGCCTTTTCAGAAAATTGAGTTTTGTTTTGGTCAATGTGAGCATTGTTCGTATCAGTTTCACTTGTTCATGGGGAAATTGTATTGGACTGGGAACTTTCTTTTAAAGTTGTAATTATGCTCAACAGTCTCTCCCTCTCACTTTTAAAACTTTTCCTTTCCTCTTTAAAACTTTTTCTTTGATCTTCTAAAGAAATATGTAAGTTTTCAAATTTCTTGATAAATGGAGGGATGTAGGGTTCATATTCACTCGACTGTGAGGTGGAAAGGGAGTCCTGGTCCGATACAACTTCCTTTTCGGAAGGATAAATGCTCACACTCTCATCACTGGAAAATGCAAGTTCGTTTGTGTCATAACTCTTGTTTAAAGCCGTATAATCAAAAGGAATTTCAGTTCCAGTCGGATTAGTTCTCTTTGTTTCTTCTTGTACAGTCGTTTCTTTTGCACAAACGAAGGACATTAACTTGGTTAGTCCGAGACCCGTGTAATTGATGTCATAAAGTTGAACACAATTCACTTTCTTCAGATTACATGGATTAGATAGACCAAGTCCTACTTTGGAATTATAGAAACGGTTGTCCTTGTTTTGGTTTAGAAAAATGGTTTGTTCGGTTTGCCCTTTCTTAGCAATTAAGTCTTCTAGATCTTTACTATAAAGGGCATTCCTTTGATTGTAAAGAAAATCTTTTTCGGCTTTTTCTTGATTTCGCTCTGTCTCAGTCTCTTGCAACCTTTTAGTCATATCAGCTATCTTAAGTGTTAGCTTTTCTGTTTCTAGAGTCACCTTTTTAACTTTATCTTTTGCATTTTCTAATTGTACGCTTAGTGAGGCATTTTGGTCCAGATTTTCTACTAAGACCTTGTGACTGTTGTTTATTCTTTCCTTTAACTCTTTAATGATCTCATCCTTATCATGTAAGGAATGAGTTTGACATGAGCAAAAGCAAGAGCAAGGAGAATTAGAAACACTTACATTGCTACTTGAGCCTTCACTTTCTGATTCGGAGATCGCAGCATCACCCTTTTCATCTTCATTCTCAACACACGTCATCAAGGTTAAGTTCTCCTCATCTTCATCATCAGAAGAATCCTCCAACCAATGATCCTTCTCTGCTAGCAGTGCAACATTTTCTTCATCCTCTTTAGCCATGAACATTTTCTGCTTGTTCCACAACATTTTTTATTTGTAGTAATTGGTATCCCTCTTCTTTGGTAAGCGACAGTATTTGATTACATGTCCAACTTTCCCACAATTAAAGCATTTGGGGGGGTTTTCAGCTGCTATTGCCTTTCCAGAGGCATTCTGATCATGGTACTTCTGCTTGTAGTTGGATGAGGAGGTTCTCAACTTGTTTGATGAGCTGTTCTTCTTACCAAACTTCTTGGTCAGCAGCGTCATCTTTTTCTGCAATTCTGCCAGTTAAGATTCCATGTCAAACTCTTCTTCACTCTCTTCTTCTTCAGACACCACGACTGCCTTCTTTTTCTTTTTCTGAATCTTGGATGATCTCTTTGGCTGTGTCTCCATCATGAGGGCCAATGGATCAATGGCATAATGTCCTTCCATATCAGCAGTATCATTTACAAACTGCTGCAGATGGTCATGTAGAGTACATAGATCAATGTCATCGAGGTCCATATTCTGTCTCACATTCTTCACAGTTCTCCTCCATTCTGGGTTTAAACTTGACATAAATCGTATATTCATTTCCATGTTGGATTTGAATACATTGATCTTCCTCAGTTCATTGATCTACTCTGCGAATCTGTTATACATTGAAGGAGTCATATGCAGTCAGTGTGCTGGCTTTCTTTGTTTTTAAACTTATGTCAGTCCCTTGCATAAGTTTGGCAACTTCGTCCCACATCTCTTTTGTTGTCTGCATGATGTCAATCAGTACGTAGATGTCCTTGGGAATTGTTTGGAGCAGATAAGTTTTTGCCATGAAATCAACTTTTTGTCTTAATCTGTCCTCTTCAGTGTATTCAGCCACGATTTTCAATCTTCTAACCGGGATCATTGGTGGATTGTTGCCTTCATTTCCTGCTACGTTTATCCATAACTCAGCAGGTCCTCGAGTCAATGATTCCAGCATTGCTGAAAAATTATCATTGTGTTCGAGGAAATTCAAAAAACGGTTCCTCCATGTTTGATACTCTCCTCTTCTAAGGATTAGAGGGTTGTTGCTGTTTCCAAGAGCTAGGGTGTCCATTTTGCTGTTGTTTTAAAATTGACCGTTCTAGAATTGATAAAAAAAAAATCAAAGTACAAAGTATCAAGATCTTAGATTTCGAGAGCCTAAATTCGAAAACTAAGAGTTCAAGAAGAGCTTATCGAGAAAGAAAATTTCGATATTGGATTTCGAGAGCTTTATATTCGAGAAACAGAATTCAAGAACTTGTTTATCAAAAACGCAATTCGAGAAGTTAAATATCGAAAAACCTATTATCAAGAAGCTAATATCGAGAACTCAGTTTGAGAACAAAGATCGAAATCTTGATGTCGAGATCCTACACTTAGAAAAAATTGATTTTTGTAATTCTAAAAACTTTTCTGCGAAGTTCTGAATGTCGAGAAGCTGTTGGGCCGCGGGTATGCGGTGCCAGCAACAGCCAGCCTGCCGGTGCAATCGGACCGCGTGGCGCTTCGCTTGTGCTATAAAGGGGGAGGAGCGTGCTTCACTATCAGCGATTGCTTTTAGTGTAGCGATAAGCGCAACGATCCACAAGTGGTATCAGAGCCAAGGTCACGGGTTCGACCCCCGGCAACAGCATGCTGCGCAGTTGTAGGCTGGCAGGTGCTGGGGGGAGATTGTTGGGCCGCGGGTATGCGATGCCAGCAACAGCCAGCCTGCCGGTGCAATCGGACCGCGTGGCGCTTCGCTTGTGCTATAAAGGGGGAGGAGCGTGCTTCACTATCAGCGATTGCTTTTAGTGTAGCGGTAAGCGCAACGATCCACAGAAGCGTCCTGCATCAGTTTCAAGTCGAAAACCTTCCTACAACCTCGAGAACCCTGTTTTTCAATACTACAATATCGAGAAATCACAAATCTGAAGTTTACAGGAATCGAAACGAAAGATATACTGCTGAATCATTTCAAGATGGCGATTTCAACAGTATAACTTTTACAAAGATCCGATCAAAAACAAGATTACAGGGGCTAAAATTCTAAAAATCGAAAAGCATATAAACAAAGGAATTTCTTCACAGTTCTTCGTCTGATCTTTACTCGATCGGCTCTGATACCAGTTGTTGGTCCCAATGTATGAGATTAATCTATCTAACAACAGATTGGATCCATCGATAATATAACAGAAGCAGAGATTCAAACACTGATATAGCAATATATTGAGCGGTGAAAACTCTGCCTATTAATATCGAGAATGATGAATACCTTATCCGAACGTTAGCTTCAGTCCTAAACCTTACGCGCATATATACAGCCGCATGTATATAGGTAAAGGCCGGTTTAGTCCATCCTTAGCCGCATGTAGGTTTAGGTAAAGGCCTAGCGCCTAGAAATATGGGCCTGAGATATTTGGACTCATTCCTTTTCTAGCTTATTTATTACAATGAAATTAATTAATACTATAAGAGGCTATAATAAAGACTATCTAAAACAAGACTTGGACAAACTTGAATCACAATAAAATAATCTTCAACAAAAGGTACCTGCTCGAGTGGCACCTGTCGGATCGGCTCCGGCTGTTGAACCACCGGTTGGGAGGCCTCCAGAATCCGTGGTTGAACGGGCTCATTGACCTTTCTCTTCCTTTTACCAGCACCACCAACCTGTTGCAAATGACTTATGTCCATAGTTGCTTCGGAACTGGGAGCTGAAAAAAAAGTAAAACAGTGAATTAGTACTGAGCGGTCTTAGCACATACATGTAAGTTTCTCGCACAGGAAGAACCGTCCGAGCCATGCCACTTGGTTTTCAATCAAGAATTCCAGGAATTCGGGTGGTACCTATCTCGGCCTTGACCAGCCGATCGGGGGTCAGATACTCCATGATCTTGGACATTTTCCCCCTCTACGGTGATGATTTTGTTTCCAAGATCCTCGAAAATGAACAGCTCCGTGGACTTGGGTGGTAGACCTGTACAAACACGGGTTCAGGCCGGGTTCGAGCCAGGCTTTATCTAAAACTTCTGCCCATTTATGTGGGCGGGCCCGGCCCGGATCAAACGGGCCACCTTTCATGTCCAAGCCCGCCCATAGTAAAGTGCCGGATAGTCCACCGGGCCGTCTGGCCCATAGTAAAGTTTATAGCAATTTTAATATAACATCACACCATTTTAAAAGTAATTAATGAACAAATTAATATAAATATGCCTTCATGATATACACAAACTATTTTGAACAATTGATTTGCTCTAGTAATATAGTACGGAGTATGTTTTCTGTTTGACCGCTCAACTGCTACTCTGCCCATCAAATGGGAGTAAAGTTAATTAGATCTTCTTTGGAACCATTAATATGATGGGTAATAGCATGTAGGGTTCACTAATGGGAAATAAGGAGTAAGTAATATGAAGTACTCCGTAACAAATAGGGTTCATTGTGTACGTACGAGTATAGATATAAATATATATAATACCTATTATATAAATTACTATGTATATTATTAATTTTCCAGGTCGGGCTTTTTGGCCCAAATGGGCCTACAATATAACCTAAGCCCGCCCATATTTTTTATGGACCGGGCTCAGGCCAGCTCGGTGTGCAGTTATACATGTCCAGACCCGCCCATTTATATGGGCGGGCTGGCCCGTGTTTGTACAGGTCTATGGGGCGGGTAAGCATTCCATCTTTTTGGTATAAGGTCGTCCGGGATAGATACGAAGAAAAAACGATCTTTCCATCCCTAAATGGAGGTGAGGTTCCCCGTAAAAAGGATACGGCCCGTTCGGACACTCGCTGCTAAGAATCCATGGGTCTGTTGAGGGGCAACCTTAAAGAAATGGTGGAAGATGTCCAGGTCGGGCACCACATTAACATTAATGCACCGGCAGATAAACCCGGCCATCACCCGAAAGGAATTCGGCATTATTTGAACCGGGACCACCTCATAATGATTGAGGAATGATACAAAGAAGGGGTGCAAGCGGAATCTCAGCCCGGCCTTGACAGAATCATAATGCACCACCACCATTCTGGGACGGTGGCGCAACAGGTGAAGCCCAACATGAAGACGGAAATCGACCGGGTCTGGAATTAGAATAGGGGTTTGGGCCCTAAGCTTGGGGGAAAGATCTTATCTCCTCTTTCGAATGAGTTTTAAATTCATATGGTGGCGGGGAACATCGTCCGGGGGGGCAGCCCTCGCAACCGCCATGTCATCACCGGATTTGGCGTCGTCGGAGACACTATCAGAGGGGGGATCACCAACCGCATTTTCTGCAGCATCGCCGGATTGGGTGTCATCGGAATCACTACCAGAAGCAGGATCACCAGCCGCGTTTTCTGCAGCGGCACTGGTGCCCACCATATCTCCCTTAACCGGCTCAATAACGATAGGGTCCGAACGAGCAGGATCAGAAGGGCTAAAACTCTCAGACGAATGAATGCACATGCTTCTTTAAAGGAGCTAAACAGCTTTTGTTTTCATTACCAGAAGCTTCTGGATTAATTGTCAGGCTTGAAAGTGTCACTAACACGTTCTCTATGGCCTTGTCATGATCTTCTGATACCACATCCGGACCACTGTGTTCATCTTCAGAATCTGAGATAAAGGTCTGCAGCAGCAGGATTGCAACATCAAAGAGTTGATACAAGTTGACAAAATGTATATAAAAATTTTTGAAGTGGAAAGTGAATGAAATTATAAGAATCGGAGGGATTGCGGAGCAACTTTTTGGGAAATAAAATTAGGTTCACTCCCCTGTATGATTCCAATTTTACAGATATAGAAAGTAAGATGTTCAGAAATGGAGTTAATGAAACAGATATTTATAAAGCCAGATAACTACGCCTCTATGAGCCCTGTTATCCTTGTAAGCACCACATCTGTTTCAAAAAAAAGTTTCCAATCCCAATCAACATGGTTTCAAAAAAAGGAGGGTTCACCTGAGATTGATGTGTTCTTTTATTGGTTACATTCTTGTCCAACTTCACAGCTAGTGTAGGCCAAAAAACACTCAACTCTTCACGGACCTGCCAGTATTTTGTTCATGCACCATTAATCGAGGTGAAACAATGAATTAAGGCGTGAATACAGCACCAGTGTCAGAAGTAGCTAGAGTGATGTACATCATACAGCATTACAAAAAGAGTAGTCATATAATATCAAATCACATGTAATATACCAAGCAATAAAGAAATCTTCTTACATTTTGAATTACTCGCCATGTGGATTCAAATGGATATGCATCTAATGACCCTGGAATAGGCTCTCGCTGCAGCAATACTTCAACACATGCTTGAACAGATTTTGCTATAGAATCAAGGTTATATCCTCCTTCAAGTGCCATAACAATTTTTCCTCCAGCAAACTCCACTAACTAGAGAAGAGTCACACATGTGAATTAGTTTTCTTCTGTACTTGAAAAAAGAGAATAACTAGGTTGCAGACTTGCAACGAAAATATGATGTGAAATATTTTGCACGTCAATCTATAAAATATAAATGAAATGGATAGGTTATCACTAACCAACGCCCTCAGGGCATTAACTAAGGACCTAAAAGAAGAAAGTTTTTAATTTAAACCCTTAAGAGCTTGCTCATGTGACACATTTCAATGCATTTGTCTTGCAACCCAATTTCCACTTTTAATTGCTTAAGCTACATCCTAAACGCACTTGTTAGCATTTTCCAAATGGATAAACCAAGGGTATAAAGATTCGTCAAGAAGTGAAAATCTATTCATCTTGGCATGCATTTGTCGACTTACCTTGCTCAACAATACTGAGTATCCATGTGGACTTACTCGACATCCACCAAGAGGATCACCAACAGCTGTTCATAGCATTATATTGAGTTGAGAACTTTTAGTTATAAGTTAGATATATGGGGAAGCAAAGCATTACAGTGTAAAAAGAATGGTATGAGAGTATGAGACCCAGATTAAATAAAGGCAAGGGACTGATGCTAAGAATGAACGTCAAATACAGCACACACACATACACAATATTTGACAAGCTACAGTTTTATTCTAACCAGCATCAAATCCTGCGGAGACAATGACAAGGTCAGGACAAAAACTTTTTGCCACAGGAATCAATATATGCTCCCAAACCGCAGATAGTCCGCATCACCACAACAACCACTCTCCCAAGGCACATTAATATTATATCCTGCTCCTAACCCTTCCCCAGTCATCACATGAGACCCATCATCACCACCTGGATAGAAGCTCCCAAATTCATACCTGTGAACAAGCAATTGGGCTGAGAAATTTTCTGAATTGAGAATTTGTATCAAAAACATACATGCCAAATATTTACAGAAAGCTGTCCTATTTGAAAGAATGAAGGGGCACAGCCAAAGACTTGGTGCCTTCTGATCGAATTATAATATATCTTCTGCCCTTGGAAAAGGTTCTCCCTTTCCTTTTTATTTTGTCCTAAAATAAGGTTCCTCATCTGTTTAAGGAAAAAGTTGTGGCTCATACAAAGTATTATTTAAATTTCCCTTGTATAAATCCAACCACCCAACTTCACAGTTCTTAATGAGTGTGCCAAGTCAAAGGGGGGACCTTTTATGGGACAGAGGGAGTATAACATCTGGTTAAAGTGGGCCTTATATATGAACTGGCTCATGCGGGCCATTTATATGAAATGACATGATACGTTTACTTTGAATAAATAGGAATAAACGAAAACTTGGTTAAATACCTATGAACAGAAAAGAAAAGTACACGAGGGTCCTTCCAAAACATTTTTTGAGTACCATTACCATGGTGAACATCCCAATCAACAATCAAAATTTTGTTAATGCCCAAATCTTTCTGCAATGTAACAAATAAAAACAAATAAAGATGAAGATAAAGCATGAAGAAATGTGTAATGATCTGATACTTTGACAAATAGATCTCAGATTAAAGAAATTTGATTGATAAAAGTTGCAAATCTGCTCTCGATCTCACGCGTTCATTCAGTAAATAACTTGCTGCAATAGCAACATTATTGTAAAGGCAAAACCCCATGGGTTCATTCTCTTCAGCGTGATGTCCAGGAGGCCTGACAATAGCAAAGGTAGACTGAAGTTCTCCATTGGCAACTTTCTCAGCAGCCTGCATTCATAGCTTCAATGAGAATGGGTTTGAAAAGATACTATCAGTTGTTAACTTGTTTTGTTGTTCAGGACATCAATAAACAGTGTAAAACCTGCAGCAGCAGTAGAAAGGAGCAACAACTACAATGCTCCTTTGTCCTGTCCTATGAGATCTATTTTCACTTACCTAATTTACACACCATTATTTTTGTTACTTTTTCATATTTATTCCTTTGTATATTCTTTCAACATTTTACTTGGTGGGCCCCATTTCTCTTTCTTTTATTGAAAAACATTAAGAGCCTGTTTGGCAATACCAAAATTGGCAGAATCGGCTGATTCTGCTGAAATTTATGAAATTCTGGCTGAAGTGGCTGATTCTGTTGATTTATTAAAAAATTATATTTAAATTTTAAAATATAATTTTTTAATTAAATAAAGAAAACATTATATGTAAAAATAGCTAAAATGATCCTCTACAATAACTTCAACCTTACCTTTTCTTATTATTACGCAATTCAGCGCCCGAAATAAAAAATTATATGTTTGGTGAAAAAGTTGACTGATAAGCCAAAAAACTGGACTACCAAACGGGCTCCAAGCATGTAAACTAACAGCACCTTTGTTTTATTTAACAAGTGTCAAACTTAAATGCATCTTACAATTTGATATGGATAGAGTAATAAATGTCATGATGATATAATAGTTCCAAAATAGAATCCACAAACAACACAATAGATACCAAATAAAAATTTCCAAAATCATGCTGACATTAATTCCGCAACCGTAAACAATACAAGTTCTCCTATTTTCTCAATTAATATCAGCAGCTCCTCGTGGAATACTAAACTATGAGTAAAAAAAGGAAGTCCCTCCATCTCAAAACATATTATACGCAAGGATAATGATGCTTGAACAAATAATTTGAAACAAAGTTTGTTTTTGTGAATGATTCAGATTATAATTATGCATTTGTTACACCAAAAATGAAATATAAAATGGGCATATGAGGTAGTAAGGTACATACTCCGTATTACATATGGTTCAATGGTATAAACTATAAAGTTTGGACTGAAGTGTAGCGTTGAGAGTCACATGTTGGGTATGACAAGACGAACTAGTGTAAAAATGTTGCTTCAATGTTTTGTTCTCAGTATTTAGTACGAATATATTATGAATTTATTATTATTACTATTAGTGTTATTATTACTACTACTATTACTATTATTATTTTTATTATAATAAATATACTCATATTGAAATAAATTCCCATCTATACAATTGTGTGTGCTAAAACTCTGTTTTAGGTATCAATAAATAATTAAATATAACATAAATTGTGTAATATGAAGTATACATAATTTATTGTATACATTATTATACATATTTAAAATATAGTTGTGTATCAAATATATAACTCGCTTCGGCACATATTTAGCTTTTCACTCCTTTAATTTGGTCAAAATTTGAAAATATTGCCCATATTTGTTTATTTATATATAAGGAAAATATTATCATGTAGGGTCTTGTTAGATTTGTCTGAAGGTGAATTTTCAAAATCTCGACTTTACATAACTTTCAATAATATGTATTTTGATATAATAGTGATCAAATATGTGTGCGGGCTAGAGGGAGTATAATATGTTATTACGTATTATAAATGCTATATATAACATGTAATGATTGCATATGCAACAATCATCAATTCATCACATCATAATATGAAACAAATGTGGTCATCTATTACTTCCTCCTTTCTTTAATAATTGCAACACTTTGACTTTTACACTATTCACATACAACTTTGATTACATTTATTTATTAATGTATTAAAAATTACATAATAAAAAACATTACGGAGTATAAAATTTCTCTCTAAGCAAAATTTCAAAATATGATATTTTACGTGATTTTACTAATGGCCAATTAAATATTTTACGTGATTTTATTGGCAAACCTCAAATTCAAGTGTTGCAATTAAATAAGAACATAGGTAGTAAAAAATACAGTGACATATTACGAGTGTAGAATTAATTTTATACCCAATTAAAACCACCCAAGGCATTTGGTAAAACGTAAAGTACTTCACGTAAAAATGTAGGGAAGCAAATAGTTTACATTGTTTTTTATTTTATTTTTAAATAAACTGTAGGAGTAAGACACTTCTCTTAAACACTTTGCAGTGTATAATAAAAAACGTGAATACTTTGCATGTAATTTTAAAACAGGTTACACACCTAACCGCACAATGTTATCATATTTCACGTTGCTTTCCTACACTTTGCATGCAATCATTTTACATGCAAAACATTAATGTGCAAACTACCAAACACCCTCTTTAGCGCAGTTGCACTGCCATCTATTTAAGTAGAAATCTGTTGAGAAACTTAAATACACTATCAAATCCAACGTTAATACCTTTATTACAGAACCAGCCGCAAGATAAGCTGACTCTGACGACCCTTCGTTGAAATATATGGAATTAAATTGAGCAGCAATCGAATCTCTTCTTGAAGCTAACTTTGCAGAGCTTATACTTCTAATAAATTCTGTGTGAAATTTGGAATGAACAAGGGCTATATGTTTATCTTCAGCATTTTCTCCATCAAGAATTACACATCTAGAATGCAATAAGAAAACATCAAAACAGAGAACAATATCCAACCATAATGTGTTAGATCATTCCTGTATGAAATTGACAGCATTACCATTACCAAGATAATGAATTGAATAGGGAAAATACAAGCAAAGCAACACATACAAAATAAAAGCAACAAAGTAAATGAATAGTGAGAAACCATTTAACCAAAAAAACTTCTTTGTTTGGAAATTCAAGTTCTGCACTCTGTTCCCTTGGCGGCAGATCTAGCTTAGGGATGGGAAGGCTCCAGTCCAAGCTCAAAATTTTGAAGGTCTTGTTTACCATGCAACAATGTAATATATTTATATTAATATGTTGGTGTTGTATACCATTTGTAGTTCATTTTACCACATGCAAGCTCAGTTAAACAAGCATGCATATCAATGCATTCAAACTTGCTTTATATGCTTCAGTTTAGTTCTAATTTAAAAATTAGTTTTCATTTTCCAGCCTAGACTGTGGTCAATTTCTGGATAAGCCCAGCCTTGATCCTACTAAGCATGCATATGTATGCAAATAAAAGGTCTAAAGAAACAAAGGAAACATTAAAAGAGCAAATGCTCACTAATGTCAAGATAAAATGCAAATGAAAGGTTGTTCTTTTCTGAGAGCATGAGGGAAGTGTCTATTTTTCTTCTTGTTTTTGCAATCACTACCAGAAAAAAAAACGCAGTTTTGTGAAAGGTGTAAACTGCGTCAAACAAAGCAGCTTGATAGCATAAAGTATAAAGCAACTTTATATTTTTAATAATACACAGTTAAATGCTAAAGATACTGAATTAAGAAAGGAAACACCGAATTCTTAACTATAAATTACCTCTTAGCTATGCCGGAAGATTGGAGCCGTTTCCAGATTACCCGAATCCGGTCAGGTTTCTCGGGATGATCCTCGCCGTCAGGGGTTGTGTGCTTGCACATCCGGTCGTCGTAGATGATGCCCACGCGCCGGTCACAGAAATTGGCATTGGAGCCCATGGAATCGTGTATGTTAGAAGGCTGCAGCGCGCCTCGGCGATCCTTTTTCTGTAGGTGAGACTTTGAACTGCAATTGAATTGAAGACAAATAAATACCTGAAGGTGGAGGAGTGCCTTTGACTGGCACTAAAAACTTGCAGTGGGTGAAATTTTAGCTGCTCGCGGTTGTAGAGTTCGTCCCTCTCCGCTTTTATTGTTGCCAGTTCGTTTCAAATATGAAATACTTACCTCCTTACATAGGAGAATAATAAAGTAAAAAGATGTGTGGTTGAGATTTGTGTAGGAGAAAGAAATAATACAAATCACAAAATAATTGATTAAAAGTGAAAGTATCGAAGTTTTAAAGGACGAAGGGATTATGGTTTTAGGGTGCCAAAGGGGAAGTTTTAGGACTCCTTAATATTTCATTAATAACAACTTTTAATCTTAACATTTTATTTGTTACAATCAGGGATTCTTAGAATGATATTCATAATTACCTCAAATTCAAATGCTGCGTTTTTAGTAAATATTTGATAACAACTTTTTACTATTAATCCTAAATATTTACAAAAACGACATTTTATCCTTATTACTCATTGATTATAAAAATGAATAATGGAGATTACAAGTTCTCGAAAATTATGATTTACGAGCATATTTGGTAACAAATCAAATCAATCTATTGAAAATTTTGAAATAATAATTGAAATTATGATCGAATTATATAAATTATCGAAACTATGATCTATCATGAAAAAATGGTTCATATGAGTTCTATATAGGGATGAGCAAAAACACAGAACCGACATGGTGTCGAACTGGACCGGTATGATATCAAATTGAAAAGACGGTTTGAAATGGATCTCTAAATTTCTATCTCGAATGTGCTATATAATAGAATAATAAATAGGGATGTTCTGTACTTTACATAAAACTCTACAGGTATAAAGATATCTGTTAGGGCTCCTTATGGAGTAACCTTTTCCATTATTCTCACATGGTATCAAGAGCAAATTAATTTTTTTTTTCGATCCTCTCTCACAACAACTCGTCGACGCGAGCTAACCCTAGAGCCGCCGCCGCCTATTCTCCTTCGGCAACCGCCGCCGCCTTTTCCCTTTCGGCGCCGCCAGCCGCTGCAGCATGTCGACCACAGCTTCCGTGGCCTTCAGCACGTCGGCAACCACGGCCCAACCCGCCTCCACTGCAGCGGCCTCCGTCATCACCACTGGCGCTCTTACGTCTTTTGGAACGCTGTCGGCACTCACGTCCGTCTCTTCCGGTGTGACGTTCTCCTCCAACTTTGCATCACCAAGCCGGATCTCTATGCCATATTCTCTGTTTCAGAATGTGCCACCGGTGTTCTCTTGGTCAGCTCCAATTCCCGTGCAGACTGTCCCGCTAGAGCCGCCGCCCCTCTCGATCGGTCCTTCCTTTGCTGGCCCCACGTTCGTTGGCTCCCCTGGTGTGTCCTCCGTTATGCTTCCGTCTCGCACATCTACAGTCAGCCCCGCCGGGACTCTACTCATGAATATTGCTCAAACTATCTCTCATGTGGCAACCCATGTCACAAATATCGTGACTACCAAACTTTTAGCGGTGGAAGAATACACTACTTGGCGGACACAATTTGATCCGTTTCTGGTGTCTCAGGCTCTTCTTAGCATGGTTGATGGCTCCATTCAGGTATTACCTACTTATTCCATAGATTCCCTTAACCGTCAAACTCCCAATCCGGAATTTTCCACTTGGTTGCGAATTGATCAAACAATCTGTTCTTGGTTATTTGCAACCCTGTCTCAGGATGTACTTATTGATGTTCGTGATTTAAAACATTCCTATGAGATTTGGGAGCGGTTAGAGTCTCCATTTATGTCTGTCAGTTTAGCTCGATCTATGGAATTAAAATGGTTATTCAATCAAATCAAAAATAACCCTGATCAGTCCATGGATGATTATCTGAGAGAAATTAAAACATTAGTCGATGATCTTCCCACAATCAATTGCCTTGTGCCTCCTCGTGAAGTGTTAAAGACTATTAGTATGGGACTGGGACCTAAGTATGAATCTTTATTCACTACTGTGTCATTATTTGGACAAAATTTCTCGTTTGAAACTCTCCGTAATCATCTTCTTGAGTTAGAGCAGCGGGGTATTTATCTCCGATCCCAGGAGTCCTCGTCCTTCCATCGGGCGTTTGGCCCAGCTGTTTCTTCTCCTGGACAATCGTCTAGCAAGCAGATGAGCCAGCAGCAGTCGGGCTCTGTGCACTCGGTCGGGCAGCAGCAACACCCAATCGGGCAGCAGCGCCAGTCCGGCTCCCAGCAGCGAGGTAGAGGCCGCGGTCGTGGGCGAGGCCACGGTCGTGGGCGAGGCCACGGTGGCCGAGGACGTGATCAAGGTCAGCATCCAGTACAGTATGGCCCACCGCCAGCCTACTGGTATCATCAAGGGCAGTCCGTTTATAACCCCGGAGGGGGTGGTCAGTCGGGTCCAACCGGATATGCTCCACATGCAGGGGGTGTGACATCTACGGGTACTGTTATTTGTAATTATGTTGTGTCACATTTAAATATTAATGTTTTACCTGTTTGTGTTACTAACTGTAGTTCCGCAGGCTTGCCATCAGATGGAAGTATTCTTGGGTCTGCTTCCCATCCTGTTGTCTGTCAAATTTGCTTTTCTGCAGGTCATTCCGCTGTCAATTGTCCTTCTCGTTTCACATAACTGTCTCCCCCTGCTCGTTTGACTACTCCTGGTGACACTACTCCTGCTTTACGGTATCCTGATTCAGGAGTCTCTGCTCGTATGACTACATCTCAAGGTATTTTAGTTAATAAATCTCCCTACATCGGCTATAATTCTGTTAGTGTTGCAAATGGTGCCCATCTTCCCATTCGTCATGTTGGTGATGTTGCATTACCTACGTTTGGTCATCCTCTCACTTTAAAATATGTTTATCATGTGCCTCAGTTAAAATATAATTTAATTTCAATTCAAAGGCTCTGCGCTGATAATAACTGTACTGTAATTTTTGATAAAAATTCTTTTTTGATTAAGGAAAAAGCATCGGGGGCAGTACTTCTGCGAGCTACCAGTAGTGGGCCACTTTATCCTATCAGACTGTCGTCATCATCACCATTAGTTTTTGCTTCTGTTTTAGCTTTTGGCTCTGTGTGGCACCGTAGATTAGGTCACTGCGGTGATAGTATTTTACAGTTTCTTATAAGAAAACATGTAACACCGTCCCCAAATATATTTACTTTTAAATAAAGAATGTATTGAACATTAGTAAATGGTTAATGAATTTACGAAGTTGTAAATTTTTGTTATTACTTTTGCGCGAATAGTGAATTGCGCGTGGGGCCCACATCGGGAGCGGGGACCACCCGATAATCCCGGGACCACATATTATATTCATCTTGGTCTAGATAATATTTATATGATGGTATATATTTTAGTTGGGCCATAGAAAGGGCGTAGGGTTGACCCGTCGGTCAAACGAAGCCCAATTATCAGTATTAGTAATTTATCGGATAACAGTCCGAAATGGATTTCGGAGACTTCCAATTTAAAGTTTTGGAATATATATTATTTCAAAGGGGCGTTATGATTGAGAGTGAGTAAAATATTTTATTTGACCCAATGAAATAAAATATAATTAAAACAGTGCGAGATATACAACTTTCGAGACTGGTTGTACAGTTCAGGACATAAAGGGATGACCTCCCACATGAGTGGGGGCCACCCCACGTTTTCGTGCTCAATTAGACTTGATGGGGGCTGGGTTGACAAAAGAAATGGGGATGGGATGCATTTGGCATCAAAGGTACAATAGGGAGGACCCATCCCCACATTATTTTGAGAGAAAGGCCAAAGAGGCTATCTCCTCACTCACACACTCCATCATTTTCGGCCAAGCTATCAAAAGAGAAGGAAAAGGAAGCTCTCAAGTCATACTCCATTGCTGCAACTAGAGTTCAAACAAAGGTTGCCCAAGGAAGAAGATTATAGAAGGAAAAAATTAGCTAGGAAAAAGTGTGAAAATTAAGGTAATAACCTTATCATAACTTTTCCTTCATTTTCCTTTCTATCATATGAGATACATATGTTAGTATATATGTCCTAGCGACAATCACTTTTTAGAGATATATGTACTTGATCACATTCAGTTTTATATATTTGACATATACGGTATTACACAATGATGATTAAGTATTTCGATTGTCAACATTTTATTCAAAATTGTGTTCCCTTGGACTTATGTTGTCAATAAGTAAGTGAAAACTTATATGATATAACATAAGGTTCTAAAATGGCCCCAATCAATGATCATCAAGAATGGGATATTGATGATATGCGATAAGATTGGTATGTGGACTGCATCATACTTTTAGAAAATATAGTTGATCTCACAACTATGAGTTCGTGTAATTCATGATGGTCACATAGATATTTTAGAGAATATTGGCATACCCACAGAGAAACCATTTGATAAGTTATATTCATGTGTCTATGAGATTATCGGCGTATAGAGTAGTGTAATAGTCCTCCGACTTGAGGTAAATACGTACTACATGTGCGGAGTGATGTACTTTGACCATGACCAACGCTTGCATTCCAATCGGGGTAGATACGACATGTGTTGGGTGCATCACGAAGCACATGGAGTAGTAGTTGAGCCAAGAAAGGATTCATTCCTCGTAATAGATTAAGAGAGAACATTCTACTTCTCATATCTAGATGGATCATAAAGTCATTGGCCAATGCAAAGATATATTCATTTTGGATATCGAATATGATCGTTATGGATCATCTAGAAAGATTGAGAGACAGAGACTAAGTTATTAGAATAGACACAGTATCATGTTCTAGACTTAGTTGAATGTTCGTTGAATGAAAGGACCTTATCACTATGAGCTCTATATTACAGGGAGTTTGAATAGTCCTCGCAAACGTCCTTATATATTAAGTTTGTCTGGTAAATCGTCTATGGATTCTACTAAGACCTTAATTTGATTAGTGCTTAATATATAAGGCCTTATGGGTCACACAACAAGTGGTTATACCTTCCGATTGCATTGTTAGAGGGAATTGAATATGAATTGGATTAAGTAATATTTAATTCGTAATACTGAAAATGGATTAAATAATAATTAGATTAAACATATTTAATTCGTGATGTTGAAGGAGAGTTCTATTTGATAGAATA